ATAAACCATTATTTTATCCAGTGTATTTGTAGGAGAAGGCAGGTAAAATCATAACAACAGGGTTAGCTATGTGAAAAATGTCGTGAGGTTGTATTTTTGATACGGGAAGTTGAGTATGTGATATGCTTGGTGTTCAAATGATCTAGTGCTGGCTAGTTTTATACTTTTTCTTCTGTTGTTCACTTAGCAGTTCAAGTGGTGCCTTGCTCAAGGGCAAATTGACTATACTTTCCCCAGCTGATGAACTATACTGTACAGGCTGGTTCACTAAGGATTACTAGGCTTTACTAACTCGCAACCATTCTGACAAAAGACTGTGTTCATTGTAGTACGGTTGTAGTTGGATGGTGAGTAAGTCATAAAATAGACAAGATGTTTTCCACTTTCTTCCTCTAACAAATTTTATGAGCCTATAATGTCAAGGTTTCAGGGATTGGTCCTTGGTTCTTGGTTAGCTAGTTAGCTATTTTAATTAGCCGTTTGTTTATGTTTGTTGTCACACAGCTCTGACTATGTTACGTGCAATTTCTGCTTTGCTCTGGCACTTTAAACTTTGTCTTCTATTGTGCTACCACTGTTGTATTATCACCAGCAACAACATTGCTGTATAATGTAGGTTATTAATTTTTTGAAACCGTACTCGGCATTTGTATAACTGCCACACAGTGTTATAGTTTTTATCTGTCAGTGTGCTGGAAAAGCTACATTCCTCTGCCAGTTCCCCCATTCTTTCCTCCAACGTTTAAACGAAGGGTAGGGATTTCTGCAGCGTATAAACACAACTTTTAACACTTTTGATTCTTTGATTTAAATAGTTAGGGAAGTGAGGTGTGTGCACATGGTTCCTGTGGGGGAGAAGCTGATGCTTACTCTGTTGATTTGTCGAAAATGCAGAAGACAAATAACTGTGACCTCCTCAGTTCCCTTTTGTGCATCAATTCCACTCTCACTCCCCCTCTCATGTTTCATTTTCCTCCACAGTATCAACCAACAAATACAGCTTTAAAGAACTGTTACTGGAATAAACAAAGAGAAAATTATTAAAGCCCCTTTTTGAATCTACAGTACACTCAAGAAAAGAATGTCCTCTCCAAGAAACTCCAGGTCAGGAAATAAGTTTGGTCGATGATGCTGAACCCTAGAGGTCACCAATCATGGTCATTAATTATTCAAAGCCCCTTTTAAAAGACATGTGTGTGTTTGAATTAATCCACAAGGGAAATAAACTGCTATTAAACAGTATTGTTTATATGTGGTCCATGAGGACGGAGCTCCATGATATTGCTTTGAGATGAGGCTTCATTACATTCATCCGTCCATCTGCACTGTGGAAAAGACGGCTAAATATTTAGAATTCAGTATCCTGTGGTTTAACCATTAGAGGAAGACACAATTAAAACCCAGAACACATCAGCAAATGAGCATCATCTTAGTAGCCGGTGCGGTGAGGTAGTCATTAGAGCTTGATGAAAAAACAGTATGTCTCAACCTTGACCCATGCCGTCACCATCAGCACCCCCCAAACGCCACCAGACACACACACGCTGCGTCCCCCGAAAGATGCTTAAAGATAAAAGAGAGTCGACCCGTCAGCCGTATGTACAGAGCCTGGAGATCTGAAAGGAGAAAAGCCATGAAAAATGGATGAGAGAAGAAATCCACTTCACCTCCCCCCTGGAGGCTTGCAAACCCCCCACAGCGCTCCCACTCATAATCCCGTCTCCTCCTGCACACACACTCCTCTCTCTGTGCCTCACACACACATGCATGTGGTGTATGCAAACAGGAAGACAAGGTGGGCACACACCACCCGAGGCCCCTCGGTAGACAATATATTCAAGAGATATTAGATTAATATTAGTCTTTTATGACATGTTAGATATCATCCATGGCTAATGTGAAAGAGCAGAGCTTCATAAAACTGTCTAAGGTTTAAATTTACAATTTCAATTGTTCTCATTTTGCATATTTTCTTCAGCTGCATAGATTTTCAGGTTCATGTTGATTCATTTCATATGTAAAGGCAAAATGTATCCAGGTTCCTCTGATGGACCACTCAGGCTTAAAGAGATGCTTAACAAATTTCATTAGTCACGGTTTCAGTGGAGAGGCTCATATTAGCGAACCTTTATGGTCTAAATGCTCGTACAGAGGCAATTCCACCTTGCCATGAAAACACGTCTGGGCTAAGCACTGAGGGCTTTCAATTTAATGGGAATGGAAATTAAAAAATACATTTTTAAAATATAGATTCAGCACAAAAAATTATTATTACAGTTTATGTGCAAGATAGGCCAGACCAGAGTCTACAGCCATGCTAGCATCTCTGTGAGGCTAACATCAGCATGCTAGCATGCTCTCAATGACAATGCTAACATGCTGATTGTTTAGCAGGTGCAATGTTTGCTATGTTCACTATCTTACTTTGTCCTGTTAGCATGTTAACATTTGCTAATTAGCACTACATGCAAAGCACAGCTGAGGCTGATGGGAAGATCATTAGTTTTAAGGATATTTGGCCATAAACAAAGTACTGGAATAATTGAAATTTTGACCTGATGATGGTGTTACATGAAAAGTTGAGTGATGCCAAAAGTTAATTCATCCTGAGGGAGACAGGAATTTGCTGTGAACCAAATTTCAATCCATCTAATAGTTGTTGAGATTTTACTCAAAATCACAAATTTGAACTTCGTGATGGCCCAAGAGGAAAAGTCATGTGATCACCAAAGTCAGTAGTCTTCATCCTCTTGGCATCATCAATGTCTGTACAAGATTTCATGGCAATCCATCCAAAAGTTGTTGAGATATTTCAATCTGGACCCAAGTTGTGGACTGACCGACTGACCAACATTGCTATTCCTGGAGAGGACGCTGCTTGTGTGGCACAAAATCCATCTGTGACACACACACACACACACACACACATATATATACTCTTACACATTGTGCCTTCACCACCTGAGGCCCTTTACAAGGTGTGATCCAACTTAAGGCACTCACATGTACTTGTGACAGCGTGTGAAATGTTCCAGTCAAAGCGGCTGCAGCGGCTCAGTCTATCGGCCGCCTCCTTCAAGGCCTATCTGCCGGGCTGGCAGTCGCCTGATGAGAAGGAGACAGAGACATGGAGTGGGGGGGGGGGCTGTCACACGCACTTTGATTGGCAGCTTCTCTCTCTCTTGTTGTGCTTGTCACGCAGCGAGTGAGGTGTCTCCTGGTAGCATGTTCAATTTCTCTTACACCTCAGCAGGGATGTTAAAGAAAAACTTGGTGTTGTTGTCATAGTTCTGGCCTTTATAAACTGGAACAATATTGTGCTGCCCACTGTCATTGGCCAGTGTAAAGCTGTTTCATTGGAGCATTAATAAGTTCAATGTTTGGCTAATACAATGTATATGTATCTTGGCCAAAAACACAACTGTAAGACTGGTTGTAAAAAGAAAGAATAGCCTATTTTTCCTTAAATGACCTTCAAACAATCTCTAATTTCTGCAGTTTATATTAACTACAATCAAAACTAAAGGAAGCCAAGTCAAAGAAATTATTCAATAGACTGGTCTCCAACCTGCAGGCATTGGCTCCATATGAAGTCTGGTAAGAGTTTTTAATGGAGCTTCTGTATTTACTTTAAGATGTCTTAAGATCTGGCTAATGTTCATTTATTTATGGGGTCACAGTCAAGCAATACTTAGTCAAAATATTTTGGTACAATAATTCATCAGACTCTGGAACAGAAATTTAAAATTAAATGTCTGTAAACTAACATTAAGGTTAAGGGCACACCGAGTGGTCTTGATTTGTTAGTGACATCAGAATGAACATCATTATATTTTGTCATATTATTAAGTACATGCTTTTCACTTCAGTCTGCAGTTACTATTGCATGACTTTAAATGTTGCTGCAATGGAAAGAACATGCTGGTCATGGTGACGGATTACCTGGTGAACTGGTGAGTGGTGCGCAGACAGTAGAGGGCGCTCTAATCTGCTGCAATGGATAGGGTTGAACTGAGGAGAGTCTCGCCTTGTTGATGAAAAAGTGCTGCGTCGTTGGGGGCAGTTTTACTTTTAATAGCCATTAATGCTGCAGAAGCAGATGATTACAAACGATCTGTTTTAGGCAAGAGGATTATAGATTTGATAGATTATAAATTGGCATTAATAAACTAAATCTTGCAGTATTTTAAGCATCTTCTCTTCTAATGAAAAGAAACTAGATTAATACAGAAAAAATCCACTTGCACGCTGAAAATTCAAGTAAAATACACTGTGAGGCATTCACAACCAACGTCCCATGTCTACTGTTAATCTAATGTAAAGTATTATCACATTATCATAACCAAATCACGTCAGTCACCAGCAATTAGTCTTGGCCACAGAAATGTCGTCTACCTGCAGGGCGGGTTTGTAAAAGGTTTGCTGAAAAGTCGTACTTAAATTGACTGAAGTGACAGAAAACTCTGTCTTTTGTGCCAAATATGGACTGAAATTAAATCCAACACAGGTCCTCGTTTTAAACAACAGCCCTGCTCATTATAATATCTTTAGGGCTGCGTTTAATTAAAGTCGACCCCTTGCTTTGTTTGCTCTCTGTAATGCGGTTTGTCCAAATGAAGCTCTATAGAAACCCAGTATAATTCAAGTTTTTTGGGGAGGAGGAAGAGGGTGAGGAGGAGGAGGAGGAGGAGGTGGTGGTGGTGGAGGAGGAATAGAAGGAGGAGGAGGAGGAGGAGGAGGGTTGGTGGGGGTTATAATACTATTGTCCGCCCCTTAATCTGGTTGGCTCCGAGACTGCCCGCAGGCCAATTTGTAAGTGGTTTGCGTAGCTGCCAATCAAAGCAGACATCCTCTCCTCAGGCTGTGGCCACGAAACATCTCAGTTGCTGTGTGGAGAGATTTGACGGAGGGATCCTCCTGTGCATGGACCGTCGCTGCGCTGCAATCCGCCGCCTGCCTGCTCTCTCTCTCTCTCACTCACACACACACATACACACACACACATACACACGCACACACACGCATGTAATGCCTCGGTGAAATCTGGACGTAGACGGTGGAGAAAACACGCATGTGAATATTTTATTTTTGCATGTCAGGAGAGGAGGAACTAGTCGCCGGGTCCGCGGCTGTTTGTCTTTTCTTATCGCTTCCCCCCCCATGTTACTCTAATTAATCGGAGGCATGCGGAATCGCACCAGGATTAGGAATTGCTTCCCAATAGTGTGCCTGCTGTTGACGTTATGGACCGAGGTAAGAAGGCTGTTATTTTTAATCAAAATTTTTTAAATTCTGCTCCACATAAATAAATTAAATGTTTTAAAATTACCAATGTCAAAAGTTGGTGGGCGTGGGCAGACGTATTTTGCTCTCCGGCACTGCATATTCGCATCACATTAATCGATAATTGAATTACGTAGCCGTCAGTTGTGGAGCATGTGATCATGTTACCATGACAAGATTGAAGTCTGAGGAATTGACACAGGCTTACTCTCCATTTTGGTTACAATGCTGAGCCCTGCATGTTTATTTCTTTTATTTTTTGGAGGGGGGAGAATTAGGCCTGAGCCAAACAAGTTGTAAGTTGCATTGAATCAATTGGCTGCTGCAGCGGTTAATTTGCTCCCATAACCTGGGGGGAAAAAGCCCCAGCCTCCAAAGTGTAGGCTGTTCACGTGCTCCATTCATGATACAACAAATTATTTTTGCATATCCATCCCACCTATATAAACCTAATATTGTTTTTTAATTGAGTCATGCACTGTTTAGCCACTTGTCCATCTTTACGCATCAATTGAAGTCGCCTAAATCACGCTGCAGCCTGTTTATAAGGGCCTATATATAATTTTGGTATTTTTTTTAAACATGTTGTTTGTAGGTGTCCCAGTCAACCGGCTATTTCGAGCTGCAGCTGATCTCCGTAGAGAATGTAAACGGCGAGTTGGCGGACGGGGAGTGCTGCGACGGCTCCAGGAGCTCCCAGGACCTGCGCTGCACTCGAGACGAGTGCGACACTTACTTCAAAGTGTGCCTGAAGGAGTTCCAGGTGGAGGTCGCCACCAACGGCCAATGCACGTTTGGAGCTGGATCTACGCAAGTTCTCGGTGGAAATATGTTTTCTTTTACGACCACAAAGAATAACCAAAATAAAATCGACAATGCTGGCAAGATTTTGATCCCCTTCCAGTTTGCGTGGCCGGTGAGTGTGATTTCTTGCTCCACTTGAGTCTACATGAGTGTTTCCTGACCCCCTTCCTCATTGGAAACAGCATAGTGCAGAACCTCGTTTAAAATATGGGCAATTTAATATTCACTTCTTGATGCATGTGTACACAAACCAGGGGGAACATGTCATACATCCATTAATGAATGGTGAGGAGCCACTCTCCCATTCTGCGTGCATCAAGTACACTACAGCAGCACTGATTTGGATTAAAGTTCACCATTTCAGAATAAGAATCCTAAGATTTCATCTGACATTGTCTTGTTTTGTCTGACCAACAGTCCAGAAATATAAAATTTATCATACAGCTATTAAATGTAACACATTCTGGTTGGAGAACCTGGAACCATTAAATTAGTTTGTATTTTTGCTTGAAAAATGATCAGTCGATTAGCAAAATAGTGCAGGTGCATTTTCTTTTGAGGGACTAGTCATTTAATTAACTGATTGTTGCAGCTGTGATTGCAACTTTGTTCCTGTGCAGAAAACTCTACAGCTCCACAGTGGAAGGCTTGACAGAAAGAACCTTTTTAGTAAAGTTGCAATTTTATCCAAACAAACTGCGTCTTAATGGATCACACTGGTGCCAGATTTACCACAAGTCCTTAATGGTTTGGTTAAGGTCTTGAGTCACCTTTGCCGAGAAGATAGACTCATTAAAATGGGGCTTCCTAGCAGCATCCTGTCCTTATGAGAATTGACACACATCACAGCTAAACGATCGCGTGCTTCCCAAGGATCCGATTGCAGCTACAGTGGTTCGCAGTGTCATCTGGGTCATCTTTTAAAGTTGCCCTGATATATGAGGGCTGGCTTTGTTCCAGTCTGCCAGCTTGCACCTGCCAGGGCCATGATAGGGTAATTAGACTGGGGGAAACGCTTTGATATGTAGACCCTGGAGGGGGAACTCTGTTACTTCTCGTATAGAGGAACGCTTATGGCAAACCTGTTCACTTCTTGACATGGCTGATTCATGAGGGCAATTTTATCGCAATACAGTCCATCAAGTAGAATTTGGTTTACTTGGGCTTTTAGGACTGGTCTACATTTCTTGCTACTGCCAGTTTTGTTGGATGACTGTGAGAGATAGCGGGCAGAGCAGAGATAAAAGTTGATTTAACATGGAAATAAGTTGTTTGTGGTTTGAATTTCTACAGAAATGGAAACAATTTTTGAAAAGACTCTTAGGGGCAAAATTTAACGGCCAAATTTTCACAGGAGTGTAGTCTGACATACCAACAATGGCACGTGCTATATTTGCAGGCACAGCCTCGTCGTTGGATGGATGCGCCAATTAATTCTCTATTATAATGATGAATGAGTGACGTTATTCTGTGAGTGTGAAATATGTGTTCAGCTGAAGTGAACGACGCCTCGGGGCAGCAGTTCGGTGTGCGCTGGTGGCTGGTTTTTGACACCTCTCTTCCTCCCCCTGAGCAGCCCACAGCTTCCTCTCCTGCTGTGGGTGCCAGGTGGCCCCCGGTGGCCCGTCCAGAGCAATTAAGCTCGTCTGACTGCAGATGAGTGATAGCTGATGGATTAGGCATGTGAGTAAGGTGTGCAGGCAGGAAAAATATGCTAAGTAGTTGTACTGTAGCACAGAACACACTAGTAGTTGTTTGTTTGAGAGGGATGTAGTTATGATGACATTCGGCTTTTGTTGTTAAAGAAATTAAATGAACCTTTTTGTAAAGCCTCGGACAGAGTGATGTAATGAGTAATGTTTTTAAGATATTGTTACATGTTCTTTTTCAGATTTAGAATGAAGTGGCGAAGTTGTAGCAAGACAAAGGAGCTGGGCTGTAATATGAATTGGAGGCTGTACTGGCCTGAACACAGGCAATTATTTAATGCATGTAGAAGTAGAACTGAAACGATTAGTCAATTAATGTGAAGCAGGAATGATTAGCTGATGGACAGAGTACGTAATTTGCAAACCTGATGACAGATGAACTGATTTTGGAGTCATTTTTGAGTAGTCCCAGCTTTTTAGTTGTGAGGGTTTTTGAACATTATTGGTCGAACAAAAACACAACATCACGTCAGGCTTTAGGAAATTTTGACTGTGAGATATTGAAATTGATTAATCAAGTCATTTGAGCCATTTGTGTAAGAAAATGTTGTCGTCTTCTGTGACAGTAAACTGAATATCTATTGGCATTTGATCATAGGTCAGACAATTTATAAACCAAACGATTAATTGATTTATCTAAAAAGATAATCGGAACAGGATTAGTAGCCTTATTTAAAGGAAAACCTTGAGCTGCTTTATTGTAAATTAAACAGTAAAAATGTTTGACGAAATTTGATAAACCTTGAGTTGCATAATTGGTAGGTCCTGATCATCAAAAGCTCCCTGTGTTAGTACCGTGAGCTACTGAAATCAAGGACATATGTTTTTGTAGTCATCTGTGTTGAAGGCATCACTTTTGATTCAGGTTTTGTCTTTGTTGAATTTAATGATTTTCAGGGTGTCTCGCAGCTGTGTGTTGCTTCAGTCAATTAACAACTGCCTTTGCTAACGTTTTCATGCTTCAGGTGCGATTTCACACTGTAAAGGCCATATATTTAATGAGGGAGGCTTTTGTTTAGACCATCAGGTGGGGAGGTGGTTAGCGGCAGCATTTACCAACCGAGCAAACCAATTTTCTGTGGCCCACCCTTTTTTATATCTTTGGAGTGTATATAAAACATCACACATCTAACATCCACCATCACTTTCTGTATGAGGCACTGTGAGTCTCTTATTTGAAGCACTGACTGACACCTCGAGGCAGAGGTGAAGAGGGCTATTCTGGTGTGTTGTCTTTCTGTTAAGTGGCGCAGGCTGATAACGGTGCACTATTCCAGTGCCAGATGTCACAACAAGCCTGCGGGGTCACTGGCTGTGGCGTTGTCGCTTTTCTCACTGAAGAAACAAAGATGCAGTGTACTATTGGCTGTGTCATCTGGCCAACTGCCCATTTTAAGCCCCATGGAAACCAGTGAGGGCTGGGCTCTTCTGTCATCCCCAACCCAGCATCTGAAACAAAACGAAAATGAAAGTCGTGTAGGAATTATTCAGACATTTTTTGTATCTATTAACATGTGGTATGTCTTTGGGAATAGGAAAAAAAGCTGCGTTTGCTGCCTTTTTCTGATCTGGGCAAATGAATGTGCTACACAATCATGTCCTCAGACAAGCAATGTACTTGTATCATTCTCCTGAAAAAGATGACATAATTATGGCATGTATGGCATCTTGGCTGTGCAAGTGTGTACAAGTTAGTCAGGTTGGGCAGTGAAGAGATATTTCATTTCAGTCAAAAGTCAGACTTATTTTTAGTAATTTTTCCAGCATCAGTGCAGTTCATATTGAACCGTTTCAACAAAGGGGGACAGAGTGATTTTCAAATTGATCTTGAAATCCTGAGCTATGAAAATACGTTTTTTGATGCGTTTTTTAATTTTGTGAATTGGCACTTAAGCCAATTCTCAAAGAGGCACTTTTCATCTCCTTGTTCAGTGCAGGGCAGTCAGCCTGTAACAATGAGTGTCGTCCATGCATTTCTGGGAATGGGTGCTGCTTCTGTGAGGAGACAGAGGCATCATTGCCTCTTGGTCCAGTTATTATCACACCAGTGTGATGCAGTCACTAATGGCCGATTTTACTCAGATTGCATGATGCTAATCCATTCTTTGGAAATCTTCCAGGCTTAGTCTTGCCAGCATACCAGTAAAGAGACTGACTACTGATGCTGCTGCCACCTCTGAGCTCAGCCTACTCTGTTTTTCTCTACAGCTCTGAATTTACAGTAAATGTTCTCTGCTGCTGCTTCATTCTCCTTATGGGTTTTTAGTCTATTATTAAGTTGTCATTGATATTGTAATCCAAACCTTTGAAGCTGATGGGTTTTGTTTAGCAGTAAAAATGCAATGTAACAGTGTTTTTAAACCCCAATAAGAGAGACTCAGGAGGTGGCTGTTTTATGGGGATTAAACAATTTACCTAATTGAGTCTTTAGATTGTACTGATGAAAGAAAGACTTTTGGATAACAGTTAAGTATTCTGCATTATCAGTAATCTTTTTTTCCCTTTATTCTTTTGTCTACCCTCTTTGAAACTGTGCCCAGGTTTTTGGGAAATTAATCTTATTTAGTTTCTTTCAGAGAGTGATGTGAAGAGATTAATAGCACTGTTATTTCAGTATGTTAGGTACAGAGCTGGAGCTGCGACGTTGTTAGCCTATCTTAGCATAAACAGGAAGAAATGGCTAGCCTGGCTATTGCTAGCAAAACTAAGAGTCTACAGCTACATGCTAGCAACTCTCTGAGGCTGTAGCCTCCTTAGGCACTGCTGCACTTTTATCTAAATGCTAACATCACCCTGCTAATGTGCTAACAAAATCAGTGCTAACGTTACAATGTTTAGTAGCTATATGTTAGCATTATATATAATGTTTACTGTGTTCTGTCTTAGTTTAGCATTTCAGCATGCTAACATTTGTTTACTAGCTCTGCACACGTAAGTACAGCTGATGCTGATGGGAATGTCTCTACCTTCTTGTGGTATTTGACTTTTAAGTTGCTAAATGCTCCACTGCGGTCACCAGCTAAGTAACTGTCTATCTGCCCTTTTGGTGGTCGTAGTGTACAGTGAGTTGTTAGAGCCTTTTGGCCAAAAGCAGCTACCTGCTATGGTTATTATGACAATACTAATTATAGATACTTTAAGAAAGAAGCTTTCAGATTAAAGTTATCAGATCGTGTCATTACTGGAGCATGTGGACATGTATGGTATGCCTGGACGTCAAATGTTAACGGCAGTCCTGCAGTCAGCTGACCAAGTTAAGACCTCGTTTGGTCGATTTGATTGAGTTTCCATTTTGTTGGCCTATGCTGTATGTGCACTTCAGGAGAGAGAGGGCGGAGAGAGACACGTCTCACTTCCATTTGATCACTAATGAAATTGCCGGTGGAATTTCTCTGCCTCTCTC